CAGACATTAGGCTGTTGTTCTTGTGTTTCCCTTAGCTTTGATTGTATGTCTCACAATTTTGTAATTTATCATTGTTCATTAAACTCTGAAAGCTATTTGACTTTGTTAATATTCTGTCCTAAAATGCGATAAGATGTGCCCTTTTTTTTTTTTGAGCACCTGCCCCTTCAGTGGTCTCTGCACGGCCCTGCTCTGTATGAATATCCTAAAAACATTTTGAACTAGTCACGCAGTTCCTGAAGTAATTTATTATTTATTTTTATTTAGTTGCACTATAAATACAAATGTATGTAAAGTTGTGATTTCAAAAGGCTCAATCACAAATCTCTAGATATACAGAACTTTTGTAGGTGCATTTAAAGTTTGTTTTTACAGAATGAGAGAAAAAAAGGCTCAAAGATGCTTTTATTTTGAAATGGCTTGCAGAGCTCAGAGTTGAGTACCGCTTGAGAGAAGCAGTGTCAAACTGGGCTGTGTAGCGGAAGAAAAGCATTATGTTTCGGTCCGTCATGGAGAGCTCCCTGAAGATCTTTTACTTTTCTATCGGTGAGTGAAAAACTACCTCTAATGAATGTTCTAGACCGAGCCATGCTTGTAAGAGCTACTGTTAAATAAATGGCTGTATTTGCGTTTAAATTGTGTTATACAGCAGTGGTAAGCGCTGTCCTCAGGTGTCACTGTCCTGCAGCCTATTCATGCAATTATGGCAAGCCAAGAAGTATGGCAAGCCAAGAATGCCAGTAGTCGCATCTAATTATCACGTTAAGATTGAAAATCACCCGCTAAAAGCGTCCGTATTCCCGAAAAATCGCCGCTTTTTTCGTCCGTCAGGATGGTACCGCAAGACGCGCGTTCTTAACGCGCGTAGTGACAGATTAAAAAACGTGTTCCAAGCCCGTTTTTTTTTTTTTTTTGAGAATATAATCCATAAATGTAGCCTACTTCACTGTTGTTTTTTTACCCATCCCCATCCCCATTTTTACCCATGCATTCTTTCATGTAAAAAAGTTTTACATTGTACTAATAGAAAGACAATAAAAGGGCCACTTGTGTTCCAGAAAATGTATCTGTCCGACGTGTTTTCTGTATGTTTCCGTCATATAACTAAATCTTTTCCAAACTCATAATGCTTTCTACAGCCATGGAGAGACTGCTGTTACAATTAAATGTAACAGGAAATTTTCTGTTAGTTGTGCAATGAGAAAACACTTGCTTAGTTGAGCCAGTGCAGCTTCGAACCCCATAGCTCATGTTCTCTCTCTCCTAAATATATGTTTTTTTTTTATGTTCACAATGTTGCTGTCTTTTTGTAGTTTTGAGGAATTATATATATTTTAACACATCACAGGAATGTTCTTTCAGCCTATAATAAAGCAAAAATTTTGCAATGTATGCAGTCACTTTAACCACTGAGCAACTTCTCAGTTGCAAAAACCGTGGAACTGTTCCTACTAAAACCTGTAAAGCACAAAACATTAGTTAGCACAGTATGTTGACGAAAAACGTTTTTACATCAAAGTAGGCATGGAAATGGGTGCAAAATAACAACAAAGTGCATGTAGTGGATATATTCCTAAAATTAAGGCTTTGTGAAATGACAATGCAGTGAACTTTGGCAACGCTGCCACACAGAGCCTTGTGCAGAGTTTTCCACTGTGCTGAACTTTCTTGGTCTGACTGCCTTGATCGGCGATTGAATGCAAACACTTCAAATGCATTGGCTGTCGGATAAGAATGACATTATTATCATATTAGGAAAAGGGCCAGAATGCGCATCAAGAATGCGCATCAAGAACGCGTGTTTTGACCTGTCACTACGTGCATTAAGAACGCATGTCTTGCAGTACCATCATGACGGACGTAAAAAGCGGCGCATGTTCGTAAAAGACGGCGAAAAAAGCAGCGATATTGATATTTCCGTAATACTGGTGCTTTTAGCGGGTGAATTTCAATCTTAACGTGATAATTTGATGCAAATACTGGTATTCTTGGCTTGCTATAAAGTTGCTTTCTGTTGCTCCATCTTCTCACGGGCGGTGGTTCAGTTAAGGCTTGGTTTTGATTTTTTTTTTATCTCCGATCCGATTTTTTTTTCATGACACACTGACTGCATATAGAGAGGCTCTGACTACCTAAGGAGGCAGATCTTTACAGATCATTTTGTTTCACTTTTGTCTCTGTACCAATAAAAATAAAACATTTTCCTAAATTTGAATTATGAAAAGTTATTTAAAATACATATAAATTAAATAAAGGAATAAAAAAAACGCCATCTCAGCTATAAAGCACTAGTGTTAATTTTAGCAGCCATTTTTAAATTTTGTTTTAGTTTTAGTCCAGTTTCAGCATCGTTTGTTAGTTTTTATCTCATTTAGTCGACATCATCGCATTTTTATTTAGTCTAGTTTTAGTCGACTATAAGTCAGAGCATTTTTGTCTTTATTTTAGTCCAAGAAAACATAATTTTATTAGTTTAGTTTTTGTCAACAAAAACTGTCAACATTTTAGTCTAGTTTTAGTCAGGACATAATTTTAACCTTTTACATTTTTGTCAGCAGATAACGTTTAAGATTTCCTAAAATTATTTCAACATTTTCTCTCATCTT